TTTTTTTTTTTTTTCCTGATAAAAAGGAATCACAACCAAACACTCCTTGCATCTTCATTCTTACTGAAGAAAACATGGCCCAGCCAGAATCCTCACCTTACACCTCCCAAAAAATCACAGAGAAGAACATTATTCATACTAGGGCTGAGCATAGAACTCGGAGAATTCCGAACCGTTGAAAACCGAATCGAAATCACTCCGAATCGAAAAGTAACCGTTGACCATTTGACTTTCTCCGAACCGAAACCGAACCGAAAAAATAACTGGTACGGTTCTGGAGATTTCACAAATATCCGTATCGAGAACCGAACCGAACCGAAAAATAAAAATCTCCGAACAGAACCGAACCGACTTTTTGGTACGGTTCCGGAGATCGAATTTTGGGATCTCCGAAGTTTGGTACGATTCTGGGAATTTATCAATCTCCGAACTGTACCGACCCATGCTCACCCCTAATTCATACGCAATGTAGTTATTTAGTTGACACCTACTGCACAAAATTATATCTTAGAGAATATCCTAAACAAAGTTTAATCATCACTAATTACATCCCAGAAAATTCTGTATCCAAAACAAAGTTCAACCAAACCTAATTACATCCCAGACAATTCTGTATCCTAAACAATGTTCAATCAGCACTGTATCCTGGCGAAAGTTCAATCAGCACATAGAGACAGAAATAATAAGAAAAAAAAGGTCATTTCCTGTTCCAACTCAATGTATTGAGATATCTGACGCAAATTCGCGTTATAAGTTGGTTGGCTACCTTCCGCAGGAAAACTGGTCAACTAAGACAGTCAATGTTGAAATCGTCCGGCAGTTTGAAAGTATCGGCCGCTCCAAACTTTTTCCTTTCTTCCGAGCTTTCTAGGGATAATTCCTCGTTGCTGTTGGACCCATCATCCTCCGAACCGTGTGGCGAATAAGGGGAGTATGGCATGTTTATGCTTCTCGACTGGCAGTGCAGGTTAGCGAGGACGCTGACCTGGCCAAAGTGTGAGATCTCGATGATTACGGTGTCATCGTCCATTGGGAGGGGCTGTTTCCATGGCTCGCCATCGATCCTCATAAACGTGTGTGTGGTGGCACCCTTTTGAAACTCAAAACGGATTCTGTTCGCCTGTGACCATGTCAAAAATGAGCAAATAAATAGGAAAAATGGATCATAGCAAATAATACCCTGAGGTTAACTCTAATAGGCAAAGGAAATCAGTTATTGTTCAGATTTACAAATGAACTCCCAGCATTTATGTTTGACATACAAAAGTGGACCTTAGTATTCATGAGAGCCATTTAATCTCAAAGATTTATCTCTGTGATTATAAAATACAAGTGGGGTGTTATTTTAATTAAACTACAATACAAGGTAGAGTAAGTCGACAAATCTTTGTATGCCCTGATTGTTTCAGTACAAATAAAATCAAATGTGTCATGTCATGGAAGCATTCTTCACTAATACATATTTTCAGTAAATCTCAACACACCACTCCCCAATGTTTCCCGAAATGTCTGTAAGTGCTAACTGAAAATTAAATTAAATCTGAATTACTCAATTTGAGAAGAAGTAACCTACCTGCGCAAGACGAGTCCCGTGGCCGTTAGGCGCAAACAAGATAAGCCCATGCCACGCATCCCGAAAACCAACTACCTCAAAAAACCCATCATCAACGTATGGTGGAGTCAAGTCCCTCTGCCAAGAACAGGTACAATGGGTCAGCACATTATTAACAAATAACGGTGGTCAATTAAGTTTTATTTTCCAGTTGTGTGTGTATATATATGTGTGTGTGCGTGGGGGGGTGGGTGGGTGTGTATAAGATTAGCCTGATCGAAGAAATACTGACTGAATGAAGCTTCTGTTTGCTGGGTCTTCCCCAAGGATTAAGACCCCCAGAGAAACTAGGCAAGTTAATGCAAACAATGGACCTGATGCTGAAATAAATAGCAAACTTAAGTTAAAATAACAACCCCAAACGAACCAAAAGGGAGAATAAGATGAAACCAACTATGTTTACCTCCGTGGTATGTGGAGATCTATCCATTCACCTGGTTTTTTCATGATTTTAACCTTCGCCAACCGGGCGATGTTTCTATTTATAAAAGAAAATAAAAAAATCAATCTTTAATCAAAAGGCGATATATTTCCAAACATGATAAGAATGATTGGAAAACTCAGACCATTAAAAGGAGAAGGTGTGTTGATGCAACCTTGAAGATGGATGCTTGAGGGACGAGCAAAACCATCCTTGCTTACAGCTAATCTTTGCATAAGTAGTCTACAAGAAGTGAAAGATAACCACTAATAGGGAGAACGAATTGTAAAACCAAAACTGTCAGCTTGCATGAAACAGATAAAGAGTAAATCAAACTGATGTGATATTAAAGGATCTCAGGTACAAAGAAACTGCAAGTTGAAATATGATCTGTCACCATGGAAAAGTTTGCAGTCAAGTCTATATATGGAATAGGTTGTCTTAAAATACATAGTTTAGTTAAGCATCTTCTGTCTTCTGATTTTCCAGTTTCTGTTTCTTAATTAATGGTCTCAAGATAGTCATTACCTAACATTAACAAAGATATTTTAAGTTGAAAATGGTCAGGGAAAAATGAGCCAGCATTAGATTAAGAAAGCATTAAAACACGACAAAAAATTTTCGACCTTACTTGCATGATTTAATTCTTAATTTCATGTTATCCGCAGGAAAATCATGTTATAAATGACAAAAATGTCACCCATTTGCACAATTGAATTCGTAACTTCGAGTTGCGGTGCCCACAATGACATCAAGTAGAATGCTAAGGGTGCAGTTGGATATGGTTTTATTAGGAAAAAAGTTCTTTAGAGAAAGAAGATCTTGTGGATGAATTAATTATTTTTATAATGCGAAATGATGTGATATGAAGAGAAATAATTAATTTTGATGTGATAGGGAAATAGTAAAAATAATGATTAGTAGTTGTAAATGTGTATGTTGATGAATAGTAAATTTTATAGAGAAATGTGTACTAATGATTGACTTTTAGTAAAATTTGTGTTGAAAACTAAGAAGAAACGGGAGAAAAAGTGAGGTTACTGAATTGTAAATTTTTTATATTGTGGATGAACTTAATTATGTAATATCCAGTTCCGCTATACTTTCCGCAATGGTAGACACCTCTACAGCACTATTCAAATGCACTCTCCCCTATTTATGTCGTTCAAGGACACATAACAAGTGTGTGGGTGTGTGTCTGTGTACACACGCACATACATATTATAATCTGTATGCTAATTGCAAATGAACAACTTCCACTGCCTTTTCTAATCTCGTTTACATTTTTTTGTGTACGTTAATTTTAAGGATTACAAAGATGTAATTCATTAGGAGGCTAGTGTTTCCAGTGAATTTTCCTTCTAAAAACGAAGGCGAAGAGAGTATTGCGGGAGACTGCCTATTCTACCTATCCATATTATAACATGTTCCATGTTTTATTATATCAATATAAGCATTTAAATGTCGCTTGAAGTTCTAATAAGACAGCAGCATAATAAGAAATGAAGACGGCAGTGCACCTGATTAACAAACTGATTCTTAAACTTTTCTGGATGTAATTTTCTCTCCGAGTGAAATGCATAAGAAACCTGGGCATCCATACCTTCAAAGAGATAACATTGTAAATAAGTTACCAAAGAAACTGATAAACTCACAAAATCAACAACAAAAGTTAAGCAAAAAACAAAATTGAGTTGGAGATGAAAAAGATGATCATATTTGTCAACGAAAACGATGTTCGCTTCAGTTTTATTGCATGTGTATGCATACCCAAATCATGTAAAAGATCAACCAAATTTATGACCACAGCCTTAATTCTCACTACTTATTGTTATAGCAGTAAGTGCAGAGATTGCCTGAACCTGTCTAAATGAACGTAACAAGAAAGCATCACAAGAAATATGGAAGGCGTATCAGTATACATAAATGAATTTCGTGTCATAATATGGCTCTACGCCTCTACCAAGAACAAATAGGCACAGTAAATAAAATACTGAGATTTTCATATTTCTATGGAGCTGAAAGGTACACCACACCCGATTCCTTAATATCACTAAACCAAACAGAATAAGAAACATTAATTAGAAAACGTGAACTCACCCATGCTAAAATAATTCCAAAATCCCCCTCGAAATGTGTGATATCCCTCCTGAAACATGGACAATTATGATTAGTAATGCAAATCTTATTTCTTCTAGAACCACATTACTAAATATCTCAAGGGGAGTCATAATGCGCTGATCAGACAGCATCTAACAGAGCCTATGTAATATCAGCCACGCATGTCACTGAAGATACATGACAGAAAATAGAATTTCATATATAAAGGATACAAGATTTTCATGAATGTATTAAAAAATGAACAGAAGATAAATTTTGTCATTGAGAATTTTTGCCTTAGAAATAGCAAAAAGGTCAATGTCTCTGATCATGCCAAAGACCACATGCATTTATGTCATTCCATTTCAATTATCCCATTTCCTCATTTTTCTAGGAAGATAATATTAATATATACAGAATCTTACTCCCAGATATGGCGGATTGTAATAAAATTAAAATATAAACGACAAGTTTAGTACCTCATTCATTTCATCTGCTGGAGAGACACGGTTAAAGGCATGCAATGAGTGCGGTAAGTCAAGAGGTCCAATAGGGTCACATGGACCTTCTTTAGGAGCCTTCATCCTCATGAGAATATGCCAGCTGAATAAAAAATAGAGAAACGTGATGCTTGGAGATTTTTTTAGTAAATTAAATCAAATGTGAGGAGAAAAATTGCGTACATAGAATCAAAGAGTTACGTCATTCTTCTTGGTACTCTCTCTCTCTTCTCTCTCTCTCTCTCATAAAAATACAAATATAATGACTCCAGACTCTTCTCAACTATTTAACAAGCATAACTTTGTTACTTGTGTGAAGGCCAACACATTATTCTGATAGGATCATCAGGATCTTGAATATTCTTATAGATACCACAGGTTATTGCAAAAGAACTGATCAAATTCTGAATTTGGCTCAGATCAGAAAGGAGAAAGGAGATCATTTAAGGGGCAAAACATGTGTGTATGGTATAGTTTCAGCACATAAACATATCTGTGAGGGCCAATCCACAAGACATGTAGAGAAGTGACTTTGAACCTGATACTATCACTAATCTGGTAGCAAAGCAGCATATATTTCGACTTAAGAAACATGGATAGAAAATCGATGCTGTTACGACCTGTCAACTTTCATCTCTTTTGCATGCTTGACTTGTTCCAAGAATGCCTTGACAGATTGATAGTTTGTGCCGGGATTTCTTTTTCCCTAAAAGTAATGAAAGAGATTTTTATAACAAGAATATCTTCATTTCATTATTAGTTCCGGTTACCGTATTAAACTTGAGCAAAAAATAACACAACAGGCCATGTCATGAGGTCTAATCTTACCCAACCAAATGAAAAGGGGATATTATTCCCAGTTCCTAATGGCATAGTAGCAATTGGTGGTGGATGTGATAGTTTAAGATCAGAAACCACTCCAAGGAGCCACCCAGCTGTTCCATCCCCACCAGCAACCTACAAACAGACCATGCACAAATGAGATTTACTAAGAGCAGAATTGCTGGCCCTCTCAAAAGTTGTTGTGGCCAAACAGTGCTCCGATATTTTGCACACTTCCTACAGAATCTTCTGATTTTACAAAATGGCATGTTATCATTGGTCATGAGTAGGTTGCTCGACTTACTATGACACGTAACTTCCTCAAAATTTCAGAAGACAAGTCATCTCCATTTCGCTTGTGCTTCTCCAAATTGAAATAAAGCTGGTGGAGCACTTTATCGGGTGCCTTGTCCCCCAGATCAAATACCTAAAAAATCAAGACCAAGTCTGAGAAGTTCTGAAGAAAAGGGATTACCCCTTAGATTTTTTTTATATGCGCTGGCGGGAAGTGAAAATTTGAAAACAAACCTGGTTCTTGTTTAAAATACGACGGCAGGTTAGCAAAAGTTCACCACCCAGCTGCCCACCACTTTTCGCATTGACGAACACGACCACAGGGCATTCAGGGACGTCGCATTGTTCTTTGGTTTCTGCTTCAGGAAGTAGTACATAGTCTGGAATGTAATACTCCTTCAGAATCTCTTCCCCATCATCTCGAGTGGAAGACCTTCGGAAAGCGAGCACAACGTAAAAAACTTACATGGTTTCCCAAAAGTAATGAATAAGGACCAGTACAGGCATTTAAAATGGCAGCAGCAACAAATAAACACTAAGAAAATAAAACCATGAGATATTAATTACCATGGAATTAAATAAGATTGGGAAATTAAATTAAAATTAACAGGAGATATTAATTACCAAACTCATGCTTATAAAGATAAGCACCCAGTATTCTAGTTCCAAATTAGGCATGGGTATCAGCGAAGGACCTCAAATTTTTTGAATACACCGACAATCGGTTTTGCTATGAAGCCAACATTTGGCTCCATAGTGGAGTCAACCTTCTGTATACAACAAATAAACCTACCATATTCTCTGATTACTTCAATAACAATAATATAATTCTATTAATACGACAGGTTTATTCGTTGTATATAGAAGGTTAACTCCACTATAGAGCCAATTGTTGCCTTCATAGCAAAACCGCACAAACAATATCTATCTTTCTTGAATTATCACCGTCTACCATACCCATATGCAACTCAGTTCTCACAAAGAATCACGGAAAAAGACGAGGAAAACGAAATCACCTTCTACTGAAAAAACTAGATAACGATAGCTTCATCTCCCTGGAAGCCATTAGTGATCCTACCATAATCCTGCCCGCTATATTCGCCGAAAATCTGTCGAAAAACCCCATATTTCCTCAATTAGATTTTCCCCAAAA